CAGGAAGTGCCCGCCTCAGAGCACAGAAAAGGCATGTTTTGACGCCGAGTCCAGAAGTTCTAAATAGAGAGGGATCCTGATCTGAAAGGGAGGCTCTGGGTAGGAGACACACTTGGGAGGGCCCCGTGTAGCAGGCAGGGGCTCAGGGTTCATCACTGGCAGGAAGGAGGCTGGGCTCTGTTTCCCTTTAACCCGGAGCCACCGTGGTCCCGCAGCCTCCTGCCTGGCTGCCTCTGCACGTGTGTTCCCATGCTGAGGATGCCTTTCCTTCAGCTCTTTATGGGGTCAGTTCCCCTCCTCATCCAGGGTCAGCTCATCAGAATGGCCTTCCATGACTACCTGGCTGAAGCCGTGCCCCTGTCTCCTAGGGACCCTCTCACCTCTGTGGCCCTGCTGCTCTCTGAAATGACCTTCGCGTTGCAGGGTATTTACAATTCCTCTCCCGAGTGGAGTATAAGCTTCAAATATTCTGGGACTCGGCTCTATTTTGGGCCCTTGCTAACACTTAGTGGGTATTCGGCAAATATTTGCTGACTAAATGAGAAATTAAATATAAGGTAATGTTTGAAGAATACGAAAAAGACGTAGAGGACAAGATTCTGTGAGGGCATAGGGAAGGATGGTAAAGAATTCATTGAGAAGGTCCAGGATGCTGCCAGGGAAGGCAGGGTGTATGGCCTAGGCAGGAGTTTTTCCACAAGAGAGAGGACTAACCCAAACAAAGGCAGTGGGACCACCGGGGTGGGAAGGGGCCCGGACAGTGAGTGTTGTCTTAGTTCATATTGCCCATGCTGCGTTGCTGATGGAAATACCTGAGGCTAGTCGGTACATTTCAGAGAGAAGTTTGTTTTGACACCTAGTTCTGGAGGCCAGGAAGTCTGAAGGCACAGGTGTGGCATTAAGCCAGCCCATAACATGGCCTGTGGAAGCACAGAGGTGGCAGGAGTGTGAGAAGAGAGAGAGATACACACAGAGACACAAACACAGAGAGAGGGAGACTGACAAGGCTCTCCTTTATAATAAGCAGCTCTCTTAAAAACTGACCCCTCTCACAAGAACTAGAACTCACTGGGTCTCATAAGACATCATTAATCTATTCATGAGCGTTGCCTCCATGATCCAATCGCCACAACCCAGTCACTACCTACCAGGCTTCACCACCTCCCTACATCAAGCTCCCAAACAGGAAACCTTGTGGGACAAACCATCGCATGTGTCAGTTCAGCTTGGCCAGAATGATTAATGGACAGAACAGCAGTGAACGAACCGTGAAGCAAATGCGTTAGCATCCCTAATCCCAAATCCACAATCCGGCACTTGCTGAGTTTCTGTAGCTAAAATGGATTCTATTGTTTAGGGCCAAGAACTCCGATAAATCCAGGAAGGATGATTTAATAAAGGAAAAGAAGAGGTAGGAAAGAAAAATAGTATGATGTGGCTAGAACATAATCGTGTAGGACACACAGTCTTCCAGTATCTGAGAAAAGTATCTCCATTGTGAGGGAAATAAGCCCTGGGCTTGCACTGGGACCCCTGACACTGCTGGGAGCTTCTGTGCTACCCTGTCTAGAAGGCGAGGGCTGTGGGAACACATAGACGAGGCTGTGGGAGGAGAAAGTTGGGTACAATGAACACAGTGCCTTGTTCATGAAATTAGGGTAGTACCTGCATCTCCTCAGGACCCTTAGTCACTTTCCACAGCTACACAGCAAAGAACATCTCTTGAGAACTTAGACTGGAGACTATGACTTGTTAGTTGTGTGACCTCAGGGAGGTGGTCACTTTGCTTCTCTGACCCTTGGTTTTCTCATCTGTAAAGTGGGGTAATACATAGTTCTATGATTCAGCACCTACAAAGACCTTTTGTAAACTGTAAAGCGCTGAGAGTTGATTGTTCTCACTATCTTTGCAATGCCACAACAGATGCTTAAAAAAAAAAAAAAAAAACCACCACCAAAAAAACCCCCCTCAAAACCAAAACAAAACAAAAAAACACAAAAAAAACCCACTAATGGAAATAAGATTTATGACTTCAGTGGGTCAGTGGGTTCAATGGGGACTGAGGCCAGAGGCTAGAATTGGTCAAGATCAAGGAAGAAATGCTATTAACCAAGAAGTTAAGAATATGGCAGACAGCATATGGCTATATCTCTGGACTCCTATGTAGTCGACCGTGGTTCGAGTCTCAGACCCAGCTACTTAAGATTCATGCCGGACACGTGTGCATGCGTGCCCAAGATTCTGAAAGGAGAATGGAGGAGAAGGTATCACAGCATGGCCATTTCCCCTTGGGGGGTGATTTCTCGCTTTCTCTCTCTCTGTCTCTCTGGCAAGCACACACACCCTATAGCAAAAATCCCTCTCTCTAAAAAAACGAATATTATAGTCAATCAGGACTCTTAGAGTTGAAAGTGACACAAAACTCATGTCAAATATCTTCAGGAAACAAATGAACATAATTCACATCTCATGTAATCAAAAGTTCCACGATTTGAGCATAACTAGATTCAAGAACTCAAGTAATAAAATCATAACTCTGTCTCTGTCTATCTCTTGTACCGATTTTTTATTTCTGGCCATTCTCAGACAAATTCTATCTTCCTGATGCCAAGAAGGCTGCAGTAGCTTCTGCCCTATATCAAACAAGGTTCTGATCTATGGTATTTAACAGAAACATCGTCGCATCTCAGACATTCTTGTAAAAGCCTTCTTGCATCTCATTGGCTCAAACTAAATGACATAATCATGCCTGAACCAATTGCTTGTGGTTGAAGGAATACGATTATCTAATTGGCCAGTTCTAAGTCACATGTCAACATGGTGCCAATCAATTCTACATCTACCACATGGACAGAGAATGGGGTAGGGTCATTTGCACATATAAAAAGGGGTGAATCAAACAACCAGAAGTTTCCATCATAAATAGTTACTGACAGAGGGTAGTTACTGTGCTTTAAAGAATCTGAGTGGGACCTATGGGACCCCATCTAAAACAAACCATGCTTAAAAACACTGCAAAATATGCAAGCTCCACATCTTTTTTGTCTAGCTGAGAGGAATCTTATTTCAGGTGCTACTAGGAGTTACTGGTCATGAGGGTGACTTGACCTCTAAATAGAACTTTCACGTCTTATGGCTCTTCTTACCACAGAAGAGTTCCTTTATTTGATCTAAATTTAACAATATTCCTATGAGTCAGAGAAGTTAAGTAACTTGCTTAAAGTCACACAGCCAAGCCAGGTCTCCAAGCCAGATTTCCTGACTCCCAGCTTATAGACAGAACATCTGGGCCCCTGGCGTGGCCCTGGATACTGACAGAAGATATCAAGGGAAGAGGCATGAAGGGCTGTGAAGGCAGAGGTTGAGCCAGACTCGGCCTCCACGTGCACGAGCTCAGTCTAGACAAAGTCCTAGACAAAGAAGCTGAACATTCCCTGCGTGAGCACAAAGCCTTCTGGGAGATCCACTGATTTTGATGGGACAGTGTTCTTCAAGTGAAGATGGGAGCCAGTGTGTCCACATCATTAAGGATCACAGAATCTCCATTTTAATGATCTACTTGCTGCCTTATTAACTGGCAAGGTGTGTGTGGCAGAAAACCAAGGGTCAGAACTCCACTCCAAACATTCCTGGTGGAGCCTACAGGCCTGTGGTTCTGAACTTTCCTTCTCCTTCTTTTAAGTTTATTTATTTATTTATTGAGAGAGAGAGAGAGAGAGAGAGAGAGAACACTCCCAACAAAGTCTTCACATTGTGATCCACCCCTGGCATCAGCCCGCAGGATCACAGGCACACGGGTGCATGCCTTGGGACACAAACCCAGGACCTTCACATGTGGCATCAGCATCGTGGAGCACTGCATTACCACTGGGCCACCATGCTGACCTGGTTCTGAACTCTTTTCAGGGCATGTTAAGAACTTGATGAACGATAGTGACCTTGCATCCAGAAAACTTATCTAAAATTGCAGGCTGGAACCTGGGTCCAGGTACCACTTCCTCCCAGTGTCTTGAGGGTCTAGCCACATCAGGCCTTGTGTCACTCCAGGTCCCCGGTTGTTCTTGGGCTCTTTCTGAGAAATAATAACCCCCTACAGGCAGTCTCTGGGGAAAGAGGAAGAAGAGATTAGGAGGCAGGACTTGACGTGCAGACTTAATTATCTGAGCAGAGGAGAAACTAAAGATCTCTGTGCTGCATCGCCTTCACAAGGCACTGGCCACACAGAAGTGGGAGAGGATATCCCTGTGTGTGCATGCATTCATTCCAAACTCCAGGCTTTTGCTTCATTCCACCTGCATCGTAATGACTTTTTTTAGAGCCATACGTGTACACTTCAAGTTTCTTTAAAAAGAAATATTGTATCATTACCATAAATGTAGAACCACAAATATTATTTTTAAAAAACTCTCAGAAAACAAAACCAATGTTATTAAATCCTAGCTAGTCTTGGTAGCAATTCTTTGCTCTGAACCCAAATTCATACTTTCTATTAAAAAGGGAAGGGGGAGGGCTGGGTCTGTCCCATAGCACAGCACTTAAGCTCCAGGCAGAGGAAGCAGATCCCGTATGATAGACCAGGTTCAAGTCCTGGCTTTGGCAGTCATGCCCCTGCCCAAGGTCCTGATGAGATGGAGAGAAAAAGGACTGTGGTGTGGCGAGGCTCTCCTGGGGATGCTTTCTGTATCTCAGTCAATTTCCCCTCTCTCCAGTGCATGTCGAATGAGCACGTGTGTATTCTCCGACATTTTCTTAAAGCGAGGGTGGGAATAAGGGTTTGGGTGGGGGTGGGGAGGGAGCAAGGAGAAGACTCGTGAGAGACATACTGACACCCAACTGGGGCTCCCGCTATTGTCAGGAGGACTGCCATGGTTGCGAAGGCAGTAACTTTCTCACCAAACGCCTCACCCTTCCTCCATTCCCCACCCCAACTGGGAAACACAGTGACTTATTTAACAAGTATTTATTGAGTTGCCTACTCAGTGTTCTTGGCCCTAGGGGTATGGGGGTACGAGGAGTATAGACATGGGTCCTGCCCTCCCGGAGGGAATATCGTTATGGTGGAGACAAACAAACAACTTAATGGAAAACAACATAATCTCTAATGCAATTGAACGCTGTTTTGAAAACCAACACGGGGTTACAATAGCGAGTAGGTGAGGCCCGCTTTTGGGAGGGTGAACTTCACGTGCTGGAACGGAGATCAGAGAGAGTTTGGTCCTCGAGCGAGTGAGTCCAGTTTCTGCTAGAAAAGTCCGTGTTCAGGATCAGATTGTGAAGGGGTGGGAAAGTGGTTCTCAGCTGTAACTTGATACCCCAGGCATAATCTGAAGGACACTACAGAGACCTGCTCTCTGCCCCCGATTCAGGCAGAAAGCAAAGCAGATGTTGTCTTAATAGTTTTCCAGTCCAATGGCCAAGAGAAAACAAAATATGTCATACATATGGTTGTATTTAAAGGCAAGATTACAACACATGTTCAACAAGCGCTGGTTGTTGCTGGAGTGGCCGATTCTGTTTGCATTCGCAGCTGAGTTAATCTAATTAACCGCAGACGAAGATGCCTGTTTTCAAGTTCAGCCAGAATGGTCAGAAGTACACAGTATTTACAACGCTTTCCTCTCTGACCTTCTCGTAGGCCCCAACCGGCCATCCTGCGTTTAAATGTTGAAGCGTGAGTGACATTACACGAAAGTTTGTGTTTGCTCTTTCTACCCGATCGCCGCAGAGGCCAAGGTTCAACACCCTTAAGAGCTTAGATTTCTTTTTTTTTTTAAAAGAGTAATAAATTAGTACTTTTGCTTTTGATTGCAACTGATCAATATCTGGTTGCCAGGGTGGAAATTGTACAATCCAACAAGGTACACAGCATACACAGAAGGGACCTATCTGTGCCACGTCCCCTGTCCCTGCCCGAGCGCCCAGGACTGGGAGGCAGTATCTCTGGGCCTAGCTTAGAGGCTTGGAACCAGGGCAAAAGCCTCCCAGAAACAACCCTGAAACCTCAGGCATAACACTGGCCTGCTAAGCACTGGCGATTCCCAGGGGAGGGCGGGGTGGGAGGTGGCAAGGCTGGACAGCTGATGTTAGCTCTGTTTGGGGGCCTCCTGAATCATCTTTGCTCGGAAGTCGGAGAGACTGGGGGAGGATAACGGATTATGCTCATTCCATTTACAGAGTTCATTCAGCTATAAGGGACAGGCCAGATTATGACACTGGAGGTTTACAAATCGCAGGCAGTTAACTTCCCCATTCTCTGCAAGGTTAAAGCTCAAGGGTCATGACCTTTAGGCTCCCTGAGGCTAATGGTTTAGATGGTCGGTTCTGGATTCTGGCAGCCCTGGGGTAAATCTCAGCCCTCCCGCTCACTTGTTTAAACATGTGCAAATAGCCTAATCTCCCCAGTTGGTTCCTTGTCCTGAATGGGTCTCACACCACCTGTCTCTCAGACTTAGTCCAAGGATGAGACACGACGCCCACGGGAGTCCCGAGGTCAGTACCTGCCGCTCCGTCTGCATCTGCCTTCAGAGGCCCCAGGTTCTCCCTGCCAGCCTGCACCGTCCGAGATCTCTGCTCTTCCCTCTCTTCTCTGGTTTTCTCTACTGCTGCCTGAACTGGAAGTAATCTCTGTGATGTCATCCAGTGACCTTTCAAATGTTTCCTTAAGCCAGACATTTTTCAGGATTACTAGTGACAGCCATTAGTCCAGGCTGCCGCCAGGACAAGTGCTCCAGTCCTGTGGGAGGGCGATTTCCCACGTAACAATAACCAATGCCTGGGAGTATTCCTTGGAGAAATAAAAAGAAAAAAGAAAAAGGAAAAAAAAAAAAAAGAATTCTGCTGTCATATTAATTGGAGAGATACCCACAGATTCACAGTGCGCATTAGCATATCGAAGACTCCCTGGAGCCCTGTAGCAAATCCACGCGTGAGCCTTGCTTATTTACTTTCCCTCCTTATCTGACTTACTGACATCCCTAGCCCTGGCCTCTTCTCTGAGAGTTTTCCTTTAAATCCTCTCAATTCTACCTGCCTATACTCTCCTCCCACTTTCAGATAGGACATCAATAGAGGGAGGTTTAGTGAAGGGGGGTTCAGGGAGATTGAGTGAAGGGAGTTCAGGGAGATTAAATGAAGGGGGGTTCAGCAAGGTTAAGCAAAGTTGGGTTCAACAAGATTAGGTGACTTGCCCACGATGGTTCAACTGGGTAGCACTAGAACCGGCTGCCCTCTCCCGAGTCCAAGGCTTTTTACTCTACGTCGGGAAGGAACAGCCTGATTTTGGCTAAACAACCGTAGAATCTATAACTCACTGCATGGGCCACTAGAATTACATTACCCAACAATTTAAGTTTCTTGGCAATGAGAAAACCCGACAGGGGAAGCGATTTGTTAAAAAAAATTACAGAATTAGGGATGTAAGAGCCAGAACTGGCAGCTAGCCTACTAACCGACAGGCCAGGCCGACCGCACCTCACGCCCAGGGCTCACCAGGCTGGCTCAAGCCTCTCAGGCATCTCCTTAATTACATCTTCTCTTCCTTTAACACCAGTGCAACCCATGGGAGATCTTTCCGTGATGACAGAAATGTTCTATAGCTGTGCTGTCCTAGGTTCCTAGGTGGTCACCACCAACTAACTGTATGTGGCTCCAGATCACTTAAAATGACCTAGTGCAAGCGAGGAATTTGTAATGCTACTTAATGTTGATTAATGCATATTCACAGAGTTGCATGTGGCTAGTGACTCCTTTATGGGACAGGCCAACTTTAGAGACCAAAACTTATATTAGGTTTTAGACCCAATCAGTACAAGTATCATGTGAGTAGAAGATCCTTTTAATAACAATCAAAGGTAACCTACCTGGTTAGGAGCTGAATTCCGTTTCATTTAATGGCAGGGCCCAACCTGAGATGCCTTGGCTCAAGCTATTTCCTTCCTTCCTTGGCGACATCCTACCCATTCTTGTCTTCTAGATTCACAAGCACTCCCTCCTAGAAGATTTGCTGCTTCCTTTCAAGTAGAGTGAAGGGACGCTTCTATGGGACTCCCACATTCCTATATTTATCTCCAGATGGATGAAAAGGGGGAAGTTCTGCTTTGCTGGGAGCCCTCTGGTAAGCAAGCAGATGAAAGAGAAGAGAGTTGGCTGGGGGTGGAGGGAGTTACAGCAGGAGCGATCGGGGAGTGGTGTGGGAGAGAGAAAGAAGATATCATTAGAAGAGAGGGGTGATGTGATTAACCTCCCCTATCTCCCCTGTGACATCTTCAGTAACAGTAAGCATTACAAACTACAGTGACACGTGGACACATCTCACGATGTTGAGAGAGAAAAGCGAGTCACATGTTTCATGACAGAAACATTCAACATACCAGGAATAGAAGGGAACTTCCTCAAGAGATAAAGGGCAGCTATGAGAAACCCATAGCTAATGTCACATTGTGAGAGATTGAATGCTTCCCCTTTAAGATCAAAAAAAGAAAAGGATGCCTGCATTTGTCACTTATATTTAACATCGGAAGC